TGCATGTTTGTTACTTCAGTCAGGATGTCATCTTTGCTCACTATTGTGATTAGAATAACTCCCTACATGGTCCTCAAGCCATTCGTCTTTCCTCCTCTAATCCCCCTTCCACAGTGCACCCAAGTGATCTTTCTTATCCTCAAATTACATTATGTCATTTTCTTTCTTCATATTCTTTAATGCCTACCCTGATTCTAATTCCTTAGAATGACCTACATGGCCCTTTGTGATTGGATAACAGTGACAGAAATCATACATATTTTTCAGTCATAAATGTAATTATATGCCAGGAAGGATGATACACACCTGTAATCCTAGCTACTCTTGTGAACCCCTGGCCTGGGTTCATTCTCCAGTGCCACACACACACACAAAGTAAGTTATCACTGGTGTTTGCTATAGGTTTGCAGTACATATATTTTTTTATCAAGTTTCTGAGATGTTTTAAAATCATAAATAGGGATTAAATTTTATGTAACTATTTCTACAATGTTTGAGATAATTGTGTGATTTCTTCACAAGCTCACTAATGTGGTCAATCACACATTTTCTTATATGAACCACCCTTTTATTCTAAACCCTAATTGATAACACCGTTTTTTCAATGCATTGTTTGATTTGACAGTATTTTATTTGATACGTGGTGTACACATGCACTCATAAATTGAACGCACATAAATTTTTGGTACCATTCTTATTTTTTGGATTAAGATAACACTGATCTTATAAAATGATTTTAGTACTTTTCTACCTCTTCCTTTTCTTTCTGTCTCATAGATCAGCTTGTATAAACAGGGATGTCTATAAAATGATGAGATGCCAGGCATGGAGGCGTACACTTATAATCCTAAGTACTTGGAAGACTGAGGCAGGAGATCACAAGTTCAAGGCTAGCCTCAGTAACTTAGCAGGACCCTGTCTCAAAAAATAAAAAGGGCCAGGGATGTAACTTAGTGACAGAGCACTCTGTGTTCAAGTCTCAGTACACACTAAGAAACAAAAATAAACAAATAAACCCGTGTGGGCCTAGTCCTTGTGCTTCTTCCAAAATGACTCATTGATTGCCACATAAGTTTCATCTATGGATAGTTACATATTTTAGTTTTTATTCTTTCTGTGCCATATTTCACATTTGAGTGTAGCCTATACATTTATCAATTTTATCTAAGCTTTCAACATTATTGACATATAATTTATTATTTTTAAAACATCCTGTCTGGTTTCCTCATTTCTTTCTATATTTTATTTATTTGCATTTTCCTTTTGATCCTTGATCAGGCTTATAAAAGATCTATTTTTTTCAAAGTAATAGCTTTTGTTATATTCATCATTTCAAAATGTTCTCTTTTGCTTATTTATGCCTTTATGATTTCCTTTTTTCTTTGCTCTTTAGATTTCCTTTTCTCCTTTTTTTTTGAAGGGAGGAAGAGAATATATTTACCCATCTTTACTGATGTCAATGCTTAACTCTCTTTTTTTTTTTCAGTCTGGTTATTTTCTGATAAATGCAGTTAAGGTACATTTTCTTCTAACTAATGCTATGCTTCCATGTCATAACTTTTAAATTATGAATGTTTCAATTTTTATTATGATTTCCTTTTAAACTCAAAGCTTAATTAACATGCATAGTTTTGGTTTATAACAAATTAGGAATTTTGACAAGCTATTTTTCTGCTACACATTTCTAATTGTATTGATTAAGGTTAGAGAACTTAATCTCTAAAGTTGATTTGGGGAGAAATGGATGTTGTGGCCTTAGTGCCCTGATGGGTAGTGGATCCACCTGTGCTCAGAGCCACTCAAGCTCTATGCTTGTGGGTTATGAATGTGTATGTACATAGATATATGTACATAAATATCAGTTCGTATCAGTTCATTCTCATTAACTTTCATTTGAATTTTCAATATGTTTTCTTCTTTTTATCTGCTTGATTTGTGTCTCAGAGGAATCTATTAGAAATTTTCATATATAATTGTTGATTTTTCTCCTTATTCTGTCAGTTGTTGCTATGTATATATTAGATATATAGAATGTATTTGAATATATATTAATTATTAGGCACACATTTGTTCATAATCATATCGATCATTTTGTCAATATTTGTGGTTTTGTTTTTGGGTTTTTTTTGCCTTGAAAATTTTTGTCTGACGTTGCAATGGCTACAACTTTTTTTTGGTTTATATTGCCATTTTTTTCTGTATATGTTGTTTTAGGTACATAACTCCCTTTATTTTCCCTTTCCTTCTATTAGATAGATAAGTCTTTCTTCTTCTGGTTTGAGAGCTACACAGTCTATCTTTATCTTCCTGGGGGTTGTCCCTGAATCCTTAAAGAGCACTCCCAGGTTCACCAGTACTCTGTCTTCTACTGAGATTGTTCTCACCTGCACTCATTTCCTCCATCCTGCCCTACTGCCGCCATATTGTTGTCTACGTTTTTACTTTAGAGTCGTCTTTAATATTATTTTATTGTTTTATGACCCTATCTTTTGTAAACAAGAGTAAAATGATAATTACATAGATTAATTTTCACATAACAGGCAATATTGTTTTACATTTATTTCTTTTCTCTCCAGAGTACTTCTTCCAAGGACACTTTGAGAGAGGTATTCATGTGGGAAACCCTTCTGATAACTTGTATAGTTGAGAACATTTTCATTCCTTTCTGATATTTAAATAGTAGCTTAGCTAAAAACAAAAGTCTAGGTCCAGAGCTTTTCTCCTGTACTACTTGGAAAATACAAGTTCATCATCTCCCTGCGTCTAGTGCAGGTGCCTTGAGAAATGAGTTGATGTTGATCCTTATTTATTTGGAGGTATGCTCTTTCATATTGGAAGCTTTTCACAGTTTTTCTTTAGGTTTGATGTCCATAAATCTCATGCCAAGAAATGTGAAAAGATGGGCTCTTTTTCTTTTGGACATCCTATTTGGGACATTGTAAACCCTTCCATTCTGTGGTCTTTAATGTTCTTTAATAATGAGATATTCTCAGTTGTCATTTCTTCAGAGATTTCCTTCATATTTTCTCCTTCAGGATTCCTTTTATGTAGGTCTTGACACTTCTACCTCTGTCCCCTGCTTATACTTGTCTTCTTGTACTTTCTATTTCTTTAACCTGACCTTTTAGATCACTATTTTATTTTTTAATCATATATATGTACATATTTTTTCTACTATTTTATTCATGTTAAATCGTATAATGGAGATTAAGAATAATGCTTTATGAATTTCTTCAGCTTCCTCATTTATTGAATGGGGATAATAATACCAACTTATAGAATTGTTTTCGAAGAATGTGTGATCTAACCCACGTGAAGTGCTTAGAACAATGCCAAGTCTATAGTAAATGAGAGCCGCTTTTATTTTTCTCAGTGTTTATGTTTCCATACCCACTATTGCTCACCACTTAGTCTTTATAACTGCATGGCTTTGCTTCATGTTACTAATAAAAATTCATTTTCTTTTTAGACTTTCTTGTTATTTCTTATTCATTGATTTTGCTTTCTTTCTTATAAGCAATCCAGTTTTTTGCCTTTATTTTGAGCAGCTCTGTTTCCTAAGTGTCTAGTTGCTGTCTCCTATGAACACATATTTCCTGGAGGCAGCTATCAGCTTCCTTGTATGTTAGTGTTTATATAATGGGGTGGGGTGTAGGAGCTGGGGGTATAGCTCAGTGGTAGAACATATGCTGCATAAGACCCTAGGTTTAATCTGCCCTGTCAAAAAAAAAAATAGTTTGATGGGAGAAGGAATAGACAGGGAGAGGTAAATATGGGACTTAGGCTAGGGTCTAGGGAAGGCAGGCAGGGACCTCAGGGCAGAGATGCTCTGCCTTCACCATTCACATTTGGCCAGGTCCTCTTCCCACCCCATCCAGACAGCCCTGAAAGAACCCTTTGCCTCTCCCCTCCCTGTCTTGCGCTCAGTTCTGCTTTCCTCCATTGAAACTGTTCCACCTTGCACTGTGGGTGTGCGAGGGAGGAACTGAGAAGGCTGGGGATATGGGAACGAGGTTGTCATTGACCAGCTGTTCTGCCCACACTAGCATTATTTGGTCTCCACTGTCCCTGTCCTGGTGTGCCTCCCTATTGTTGAGTCATTGGTCCTCTGGCTGTCACTGGGACAGTGCTGCTCTTTCCTGCCCTGCTGTGCTGGTCAGCAGAGCCATGCTCCCTAAAGGCAGTGCAAAGGGAACCGGACCACTGAACAACTCAAATGCCCTTCCCTGAATCACCCTGTGCTGGTCCAAGGTCTCTCATTCTCGCTCCTGTTTACCTTCACACCTTGGCTCTCTCTGCAGATTTCTCAATGATCATATGCCAGTTTCTCCCTTTCCCTCTCAATTTCACAGTATCTGGCCTGGGAGAAGGACCCAGTTGTCCCTGTCATTTCTCCGTTTTCTCAGGCTAGAAGTTTACAGTTTGCTTTTTATTTTAATATCCTCATATATCACACTGGTTTTAAGAACTGAAAACAATTTTGTTTTTAGGGAGCTACCAATTACATATATGCAAAGCCAGTTCTTCTTAGTCTCAAATTGGAGGATTAAGGTAATGAAATAAAGATCTTTTTAGTATAAGAAAATTCTGATTTGCGAGGCAGCCCACACTGTTAAACTTCCGATTAGCAATGTAGTAAGATTCTCCTATTAGCCACAAAGTAGTCATGTTAAAACAACACATTATCTCCTTGTTAGCAAATTGAGAGTCCCTCGTCATCTATTTGTACTTTGTAAAGAGATATATTCTATTAATCTTTAGTCTTCTTGAAGCCCATTAGAATTTAGCTGAAATAGTCTATCAGGATTTCATGTCCGATGTGTGACAGGACATCTTAACATGTAATTGAGCACAATGGTAGCAGTGTACAGCAGATATATAAAACAGATTGTGTTTACGAGTCAATAGATCTTAGGCAAATGAGAATTTCTGGAAGAATGCCTTTAAAATTCCATCTTTTGTGCTTGGTCTAATGTTTCTTATTTCTGTATTTGCTAAAGATGCACAGTAATCAAAAGGGATTACTTCCAGAACCAAATCCAGTACAAATTATGAAAAGTTTAAACAACCCCGCCATGTTGCAAGTTCTTCTACAACCCCAGCTACAACGAGCTGTCAAACCAGGTAAGTGCCACATGTCCTGACTAAATGCAGAATGTTGGCTTGAAGTTAATACAGCTGCTTTACATTCAAAATGTGAAAAGTACATTTACAAGTTAAAAAAAAAGCACACTTAAATTAGTCTAAAATATATAATTTTCCCCAGACTTGTTATTGAATTTTAATAGATAATCTGAGGTGATAATGTATTTTGGCTATTTTGGGTAGGTACAACATGCTTATGTGTTTCCTATTTCTTTGCCATTAATAAATGTTATATATTAAACCTTCAATTTAGCTCTTAGTTGACATAAATTTATAGAACAAGTGGTAATAATTAACATACTACATTGTTATAGCCTCTATCAACAAAGAATATATTTCTGTGTAATAGTTTTAGCAGAATACTATGTTAAAAGTGCTAAAAGTCTGTTTCCTCTTTTGTTCTTCCCTTTTTTGATGTAAAATTCTTTCACTCTGTAACCAGTGATGAAAGCATTATTATTTTATAAGTATTATGCCAATCTTTATACTATCAATATACATTGAATATGTATTTAATATTCTTTTTCTGGTAATAACTTACCTTCTGAAATGTACAATGTACTTTATATACACAAAATGTCTGTTTTGGCATTGTGAGGAAATGAGACCTGATATTCAATACTAAAGTTTGGAATAAATATATTAAATAAGTTTATTCTGTTTCAATCCCAATTAGCCTAACTTCCACTTGCCTACTGTAATTTAGTTCTAGCATGAATTAATTACTTGATGTTAACATGAACCCCACAAGTTAAAGTCTCAGTCCTCCACATGAGTGCCCTATTTTACAGTCCCAGTCAGAAATTCAATGGGTCTCCAAGGCCACCCACACTCCTGACCAACTAGCTATAAGTTTGGGAGTTCCCAGCACCCTCTCAGTTTTGAGAATTCAACAGACAGAAACTCAGGAAAGCACAATATTTATGATTATAATTGTATGTATTTTAAAGGACATAACTTAGGAGTACCCAAATGAAGAGACACTTGGGGTTTTTATCCTAAAGGAATCTTGAATTTTATCAAAGTCTTTTTCTGTGTCTATTGAGATGATCATTTGATTTTTATACTTGATTCTTTTTTAAAATATTTTTTAGTTATCAATAGATCTTTATTTATTTATATGCAGTGCTGAGAATCAAACCCCATGCCTTACATATGCTAGGCAAACGCTCTACCACTGAGCCATAACCCCAGCCCCTTCTTGATTCTTTTTATGTGCCAATTTACATTTATTGATTTGTGTATGTTGAACCATCTTTGTATCCCTGGAATGAAACCAATTTGATTAGTATATGATCATTTTAACATGTTGTCAGATTTGATTTGAAAGTATTTTATTGGGAATTTTTGCATCTGAGTTCATCAGAGTTATGTATATTTCTTCTGTTGTGTCTTTTCAGATTTTTTTTTTCAATTTGTTCTTTTTATATATGACAGTAGTGTGCATTCTGACATGTTATATATACATGAAGTATATATTATTCTAATTAGGATCCCATTCTTGTAGCTATACATGATGTGTAGTTTCATTGGTTGTGTAATTATATATGAACATAGAAAAGTTATGTCTGATTCATTCTACTGTCTTTCCTATCCCTATTCCCTCTTCCTTTCTTTTCATTCCCCTTTGTCTAATCCACTGAACTTCTATTCTTCTCTCCCCTGCCGCCCCGCCTTGTGTATGTTATAATCCGCGTATAAGAGAGAACATTTGACCTTTGGGTTTTGGGGATTGGCTTATTACACTTAGCATGATAGGCTCCAGATCCATCCATTTACCAGCAAAAGTCATAAAAATCATTCTTTTTTATGGCTGAGTAATATTCCATTCTCTGTGTGTGTGTGCGTGTGTGCATGTGTATATGTGTATCACATTTTCTTTACCCATTCATCTATTGAAGGGCACCTAGATGGGTTCCACAGCTTCACCACTGTGAATTGAGCAGCTATAAACATTGATATGACTGTATCACTGTAGTATGCTGATTTTAAGTTCTTTGGGTATATACAAAGGAGTGGGATAACTGGGTCAAATGGTGGTTCCATTTCAAGTTTTCTGAGGAATTTCTATACTGCTTTCCAGAGTGATTATAACAATTTGCAATTCCACCAATAATGTGTGAGTCTAATTTTACCCAACATCCTCTCCAACATTTATTGTTATTCTTTTTTTTTTTAATATTCTTGATAATGGCCTCTGACTAGAGTGTCTTCTCAGGTTTGGATAACAGGGTAATACTTGTTTTGTAGAATGAGTTTATAATTACTCAAACTATTATTGAGGAATAATTTGAGGAGAATTGGTATTAGTTCTTCAAAAGTCTGGAAAAATTCAGTAGTGAATTTATCAGTCTGGGCTTCTCTCCAACTCCCAAGACTTCTTATTTACTGCTTCAATTTCAGTACTTGTTATTTATCTATTTAAGTTTTATATATGCCCTTTGTTCAATTTTGGTAGATCATATCTTTCCAGAAATTTGTCCATTTCTTCTGTATTTTCAGCTGTATTGGCATATAGTTTTTTAAAAAAAAAATTTAGTTGTAGATGGACATAGTATCTTTATTTTTATTTATTTATTTTTATGTGGTACTGAGAATCAAACCTAGGACCTCATACATGTGAGGCCAGTACTCTACCACTGAGCTACAACCCCAGCCCAGCATATAGTTTTAATATTATGTAGTTATTATGTTCTCCAATGATCCTTTGAATCTCAGTGGTATCTGTTAGACTGTTTCCTTTTTCATCTCTAATTTCATTTAATTGGGTCTGCTCTCACTTTTGGTTAGTTTAGATAAAGGTTTGTCAATTTTATCTTCTCAACAAATTCTTTCATTGATCCTTTTGTATTGTTCTTTTTTAAATTTTATATATATATATATATATATATATACACATACATACACACACACACACACACACACACACACGTGTGCTAGGTGAGCGCTCTACCATTGAGCCACAACCTCAGCCCCCTTTGTATTGTTCTTTTAATCTCTATTTCATTTGTTTCTGCTCTGATTATTATTTATTTGTTTATTTCTACTGATTTTGATGGTTTGTTCTTTTTGCATTATTAGGTCATGCGTTTGTGATCTCTGTATTTTTTTGGTGTAAGTACTCGTTGTTATGAACTTCCTTCTTAGTACCGCTTTCACTGTGTCCCACAGTTCTTGTGGGTTGTGTTTCTATTTTCATTTGATTCAAGGAATTTTAAAATTTCCACTCTGCTTATATATTCTGTATAATTTTCTGTATAATTGTATGTTCTGTATAATTACGTGTTTTTTTCTTGCTACTGATTTCTAGCTTCATTCCATTGTAATCAGATAAGATGCAAGAGATTATTTCAGTTTTTTTAACTTGTTTAGACTTGTGTTGTGGCCTAATATGTGTCAATTTTGGAAGAAAGTGCAATGGGACAATGAAAAGAATGTGCATTTTGCAGTTGTTGGGTGGAATATTCTGTAGATGTCTATTAGGTCTATTTGGTCTATAGTATAATTTAACTCTGATGTTTCTTTGTTGATTTTCTTATCTGGATGATTTATTGGTGAGAGCCGGTATTGAAGTTGCCCACTATTATTGTATTGGAGCCTATCTCTCCCTTTATGTTTAGTAGTGTTTGCTTTATAAAATTGGGTTGCTTTGACAATCAGTGCATATGTATTTATAATCATTATATTTTTTGAGAGACAGAGAGAGAGAGAGAGAGAATTTTTTATATTTATTTTTTAGTTTTCGGTGGACACAACATCTTTATTTTTATGTGGTGCTGAGGATCGAACCCAGCGCCCCACTTAAGCCAGTCGAGCGCGCTACCACTTGAGCCACATCCCCAGCCCCCATTATATTTTCTTGAAAATTTTTTCCCTTGATCAGTCTATAGTGACCTTTGTATTCTTCTAACTGATTTTGTGTCAACGTCTTTTTGTCAGATATAAGTATAGCTACTCCTACTTCTTTCCCACTCCATTTGCTTGGAGTAACATTTTCTATCCTTTCAGTATGTGTTTTTTATTACAAGTGAGCTGTTTCTTGCAAATGACATATTTTGGGGTCTTGTTTTTTAATCCATTTATTCTGAACCTTTTTAAAAATATTTTTTAGTTGTTGATGTACTTTTATTATTTATTTATTTATATATGGTGCCTCACACTTGCTAAGCAAGTGCTCTGCCACTGAGGCACAACCCCAGCCCTAGTCTGTATCTTTTAATTAGAGAATTAAGACCATTTACATACAGTATGTTCTCCTGTTGTTTTGTTTTTCTTCTGGTTGTTTTCAATATTTTATGTTCCATTTCTTTTTCTTGTATTCATCTTAGAAGTTCGATGGTTTACTGTATTGATAATGTTTGATTCTTTTCTATTTCTCATTTGCATGTCTACTCTTCTAGAGAGATTTATTTTTTTTAACATGCTCTTGTGATTGTGTTTATCTTTCTTCCTCTTCTGGATGTAGAATTTCCTTAAATATCTTTTGTAATGCTTGTTTAGTGGTCATGAATTTCCTTAGTTTATGCTGAGATTGGAAGGTCTTTATTTCAACTTTGCTTCTGAAGGATAATCTTGCTATGTAAGCAATCTTGTTTGGCAGTTCTTTTATTCCAGAACTTCGAATATATCATGTTCTCCTGGCATTTAGAGTTTCTGCTGAGAAGTATGCTATTAAATGTGACTTGGCACTTATATTTCTTGAAGATTTTAATCTTCTTTCTTTGTCCTGTACTTTTGACATTCTGACTATGTCATGGAGAGCATCTTTTCTGGTCATCTTTACTTGGGGTCCTAAATACCTCCGGTATTTGGAAGTCTAGGTTTTTCCCGAGATTTGGGGAAATTTCTGCTATTATTTAACTGATCATGTTTTCTATTCTTTCAGCCTTCTCCCTTGGGTATACTGATTATGCTGGCATTTGATCATTTGAAAGTGTCACAGAGAATGGACTATGTTCTTCTTTTCATTATACCTTTTT